CCCAATTGGGGTAGCACATGCTGGTAGACACTGCTACTCTGGAAGCTGAGGCAAGAGGATCACGACATAGCAATATCTGATCTAAAAATTTTTTTAAAAATATATTTTAAAAATAAAATATAAAATAAAAATTATATTTTTGTGAGGAGGTTTGCTATATGGTGTGTGCTCTTGCCAGAAAAAGAGAGAAATCACACCCTAGGGGGGAAGGCCATGCCCAATCCCCTTCTCCATTCTCCTTTTGGGATTTTGGGCATGCCCACACATGCACCCAGCATGTTTTTCAAGCTGCTAGTTTGGGACCCAAACCACAAAGGCCATGTGGGATACAGCCACTTTAATCATCACGCTATCAGCTAGATCAAAATTGAGATCTTTTACAACTTCAACACATTACATTTCTATTGCTTTCAAATGACTTTAGTTAGGCGGATATAATTTAAAATACACTGGATACACCAAGGCAAAACAATATTTTTAAATGAAAAAATAAGATTTAAAAAGACACATATTTCCAGCTATGGCAGAATCACAGGATGATGAGCCAATAATAAGCAACTTTCCTAGGCTGAATTTAACATGATGTGTTTTTAAAGAAATGTGATAGTTATAATAATAAGGCTACAAAGTACCTGTAAAATGTTTATATTTAAATAATTAATCTAAACATAATGTAATGTGATCAGCAGCTGTATTTGCTTTACACATATCATGATGGATTTTATATTGAATTAAGTTCTAATATGGGAGGAATAAAAATAGAGACATTAATTATAATGTGTATAATTAGTTAATACATTAAAATGAATTACAATTCATTCATTACATTTAATGATTTTTGCATTCACTATCAATGTTAATTGAATAATATTTAAATGTCACAACTTCGTGTGTTTATGTGTGTGTGTATACACACTTGTGTATTTGCTAACATATGACTAGCATTAAATATCTATGACCGAGAAGGAGGAAGTATCTATAACATGGCGTGGTTTAAAGTACCTTCAATATTAACTTCTAGGTTAAACAGTAACTTAAAGATGTTTATAAATGTGTAATTATATAATAAGATTTTGCTCAATTTTACTTCTAGACAAATAAGTTTTGCTGTCAATGCCTTGTGAAGAATTAATGAAAAGTGAAGTGAATTAAATGAAATAAAAAGTATTTACTATTTTGGGAAAATAGGTGTCAAGATAATGATAAACTGGTTCATCTCTGGAAGTTTATCATTTCCAGAAGAACTCACTGACTAATAAGCACTTCCAATTTCTGAAACCCATCACATGGATTTCACTTACTGAACTTCCCACATATAAACCTAATCTATAGTAAAGAGATCCATACTCTGGGAGATGGAAAGCAGAGATAAGTACCAGAAGAGAGGGCTGGTGAGAAAGCAGTGTGGGTGGGACCAGCAGTTGGCGTAATGGCTATGTCGCTGGACTCCCATGTAGTTGACCGCGCCTCAAGTCCCTGACCCGGTGGCTTAGACTCACGCCAGGCACATGTGTGTGCATACCAAAGATCTCGAGAGGAAAGTGGAGAAGAAAGGATTGCGGCATGGCCATCCCCCTTGGGGGGTGATTTCTCACTTTCTGTCTCTCTGTCTCTTTCTGTCCTTCTGGCAAGTGCACGCGCCCTATGGCGAAAACCTCTCCAAAAAAAAAAAAAAAAATGAAAGCAGTGTGGGCATGGAACATTACTAATGTTTATGAGGCTTGTGCCCTTAGCCATAGCAATATCCTTTCATATCTTATAGCCTTAATCGAAGTTGCAAGTATGGTGTATGAAACTGAAGTCAGAAAGTGATAAAGGTTGTATTAGAGATAGTAACATTAGTTCAGCTAAATTGGGAAGAGAAAATGAAAACAACTTTCACACAATCTGTGTCTTGTCATTTAAGAAGGGAGCCACATGACTCTCATTTTGTATTTAGTACTATATAGTGACTTAAAAAATTACAGTCTTATTAAGAGCATAAACCATTAATTTTACAAAGGATCAATCACTGTGAGAAATTGCATACATACCTTTGGCTGAAGATTTGGGTGTAATAAAACATAACCATTAGGATCGATTGCAAAGTAATAGCCATTGGGGCACAACTGAAAAATAACAAAATAAACTTAAATATCCCTGAGTCACAATCAGAAATCTGTATTTTAAAAAGTATTTTATGTATTAAATGCACATTTTATAGTACGTTGATAGATAACCTGGTATCTCTACATTTTAAGGATGCTTTTTAACATTCTGTTCTCTTGCTAAGAGAACTACACATAATTTTTGAGAACTACTTAAGTGCTTTATGGGCAAGCTCAATTAGAAAAGATGCCAAAGGAGTAAATTGCTTCTTACTGTAAAACGTGGTGTCAGTCTTTTAATATCTTCCAAAGACACATCGACTCCCATCACACCAAGAATCAGCTGGTTCTATAATAAGTTGGCAAAAATGAATGGTGAATTGATTTTTATACCAAAAAGCATACATTTCTACATAATGATATACATATTTTCATCATTTTGCTTTGACAATGGTTGTATTTAATGTAATAACTAAACATGACTATAAATATATAAATATAAATATGTTTACTTTTAGGGTGAGACACTTTTGGGGTCAATTTATTAGAATTCTTAATTCTCAGCTTTGATTATCTTCCAAAACTTTATCATCAGCATGAAATTTAACAGAATCTTGATGATCGAGATTAAAATATAAAAGATATATGAAAATTTCAATTAGATAATTATTGTACTTTTTTTCTCCTCGGATGTCTTTGTACTGCTATTCTTCGGTCAGGAGTTCTAGCTGTGTGTGCATATGTGTCTCTGTGTGTGACTACAGATTGACTCCTTGGTGCACTGTGACTAAGAAAACAAGAATGCCCAGCTTAAAGACTGGACAATACCAAGTAAGAACACATTGAACTTTCACTGTTGAGAGTACTGATGCTTGTGTGACAATCCTGAACATAAGAGACCTTACTCAAAATGGTGTTGTGAGGATTTTAGCAATAAAATCCTCCAAAATCGTTATTACCCAAATCCTCAAACAGTGTTCCAAATTGCTACTAAAGCTTCTAACACCAAAAAAATAGGCATCATAGTTCCAGTTGCAAGTTGGAGCTTATGAGACAAAGAGCTATCATAATTATCTATGGAATATAAAAATGGAAATTGTATTAGAATTGTATCATGAATTCTTGCCCTAAATATAATTACATAAGTTACAAAATAATATATTGAAACGTTTACAGGGAAAATTATAAAATATAGACAAGAGTTGCAACACTTTAAACTTTCTGTTGATGCAGAGACTGAGTTATGTCAAGAAATATGCTCTTTTCCTGTGAATCAACTCTAGACTAAGAAAAACTCTAGAATTTTACAGCAGTCTTGTAGACAGTTCATAGTGACATTTATAAACATGTATGAGAAAGAGTTACAGAATTATTCCTTTATGAGTTACAATGCCTAGAACCCAGAAATATTTAAGAGCAGTAATAGGCCCCCATAGGGAAATAACTAATGTTTTCTATGGCCACATTATAACAATAAAAAGTTTAACTGAGATTTATAACTGAAAAGCAAGTACAATAAACCTCATTAAACCATAAATTGAAAATAAACAGCCCGTCAAGTCATGAATATCTCCTATGTTTCAAATAAGCATTTATCACTATATTTTGAAAAAATCTTAAGGGCAGGATAACACAGTGGTTAAGTACAATACACTCAAGTCCCTGACCCGGTGGCTTAGACTCACGCCAGGCACATGTGTGTGCATACCAAAGATCTCGAGAGGAAAGTGGAGAAGAAAGGATTGCGGCATGGCCATCCCCCTTGGGGGGTGATTTCTCACTTTCTGTCTCTCTGTCTCTTTCTGTCCTTCTGGCAAGTGCACGCGCCCTAAGTCAAAAACTTCTAAAAGAAGGTTTTTGTTTTGTTTTGTTTTTGTTTTTTGGGGTTTTTTTGTTTGTTTGTGTTTTTTTGAGAGTTTTTTTGCTATAGGGCGTGTTTGCTCACCAGAAAGACAGAGAGAGAGGCAGAGAGACAGAAAGCAAGAAATCACTCCCCAGGGGGGAATGGCCAATGAAAAGTGAAGTGAATTAAATGAAATAAAAAGTATTTACTATTTTGGGAAAATAGGTGTCAAGATAATGATAAACTGGTTCATCTCTGGAAGTTTATCATTTCCAGAAGAACTCACTGACTAATAAGCACTTCCAATTTCTGAAACCCATCACATGGATTTCACTTACTGAACTTCCCACATATAAACCTAATCTATAGTAAAGAGATCCATACTCTGGGAGATGGAAAGCAGAGATAAGTACCAGAAGAGAGGGCTGGTGAGAAAGCAGTGTGGGTGGGACCAGCAGTTGGCGTAATGGCTATGTCGCTGGACTCCCATGTAGTTGACCGCGCCTCAAGTCCCTGACCCGGTGGCTTAGACTCACGCCAGGCACATGTGTGTGCATACCAAAGATCTCGAGAGGAAAGTGGAGAAGAAAGGATTGCGGCATGGCCATCCCCCTTGGGGGGTGATTTCTCACTTTCTGTCTCTCTGTCTCTTTCTGTCCTTCTGGCAAGTGCACGCGCCCTATGGCGAAAACCTCTCCAAAAAAAAAAAAAAAAATGAAAGCAGTGTGGGCATGGAACATTACTAATGTTTATGAGGCTTGTGCCCTTAGCCATAGCAATATCCTTTCATATCTTATAGCCTTAATCGAAGTTGCAAGTATGGTGTATGAAACTGAAGTCAGAAAGTGATAAAGGTTGTATTAGAGATAGTAACATTAGTTCAGCTAAATTGGGAAGAGAAAATGAAAACAACTTTCACACAATCTGTGTCTTGTCATTTAAGAAGGGAGCCACATGACTCTCATTTTGTATTTAGTACTATATAGTGACTTAAAAAATTACAGTCTTATTAAGAGCATAAACCATTAATTTTACAAAGGATCAATCACTGTGAGAAATTGCATACATACCTTTGGCTGAAGATTTGGGTGTAATAAAACATAACCATTAGGATCGATTGCAAAGTAATAGCCATTGGGGCACAACTGAAAAATAACAAAATAAACTTAAATATCCCTGAGTCACAATCAGAAATCTGTATTTTAAAAAGTATTTTATGTATTAAATGCACATTTTATAGTACGTTGATAGATAACCTGGTATCTCTACATTTTAAGGATGCTTTTTAACATTCTGTTCTCTTGCTAAGAGAACTACACATAATTTTTGAGAACTACTTAAGTGCTTTATGGGCAAGCTCAATTAGAAAAGATGCCAAAGGAGTAAATTGCTTCTTACTGTAAAACGTGGTGTCAGTCTTTTAATATCTTCCAAAGACACATCGACTCCCATCACACCAAGAATCAGCTGGTTCTATAATAAGTTGGCAAAAATGAATGGTGAATTGATTTTTATACCAAAAAGCATACATTTCTACATAATGATATACATATTTTCATCATTTTGCTTTGACAATGGTTGTATTTAATGTAATAACTAAACATGACTATAAATATATAAATATAAATATGTTTACTTTTAGGGTGAGACACTTTTGGGGTCAATTTATTAGAATTCTTAATTCTCAGCTTTGATTATCTTCCAAAACTTTATCATCAGCATGAAATTTAACAGAATCTTGATGATCGAGATTAAAATATAAAAGATATATGAAAATTTCAATTAGATAATTATTGTACTTTTTTTCTCCTCGGATGTCTTTGTACTGCTATTCTTCGGTCAGGAGTTCTAGCTGTGTGTGCATATGTGTCTCTGTGTGTGACTACAGATTGACTCCTTGGTGCACTGTGACTAAGAAAACAAGAATGCCCAGCTTAAAGACTGGACAATACCAAGTAAGAACACATTGAACTTTCACTGTTGAGAGTACTGATGCTTGTGTGACAATCCTGAACATAAGAGACCTTACTCAAAATGGTGTTGTGAGGATTTTAGCAATAAAATCCTCCAAAATCGTTATTACCCAAATCCTCAAACAGTGTTCCAAATTGCTACTAAAGCTTCTAACACCAAAAAAATAGGCATCATAGTTCCAGTTGCAAGTTGGAGCTTATGAGACAAAGAGCTATCATAATTATCTATGGAATATAAAAATGGAAATTGTATTAGAATTGTATCATGAATTCTTGCCCTAAATATAATTACATAAGTTACAAAATAATATATTGAAACGTTTACAGGGAAAATTATAAAATATAGACAAGAGTTGCAACACTTTAAACTTTCTGTTGATGCAGAGACTGAGTTATGTCAAGAAATATGCTCTTTTCCTGTGAATCAACTCTAGACTAAGAAAAACTCTAGAATTTTACAGCAGTCTTGTAGACAGTTCATAGTGACATTTATAAACATGTATGAGAAAGAGTTACAGAATTATTCCTTTATGAGTTACAATGCCTAGAACCCAGAAATATTTAAGAGCAGTAATAGGCCCCCATAGGGAAATAACTAATGTTTTCTATGGCCACATTATAACAATAAAAAGTTTAACTGAGATTTATAACTGAAAAGCAAGTACAATAAACCTCATTAAACCATAAATTGAAAATAAACAGCCCGTCAAGTCATGAATATCTCCTATGTTTCAAATAAGCATTTATCACTATATTTTGAAAAAATCTTAAGGGCAGGATAACACAGTGGTTAAGTACAATACATAGGGAGCCAGATCCCACATGGCTGACTACAGTTTGAGTCCTGATCCCAACAGTCTGAAAAACAAACTAGGCACTTGTATGGAAAAATGGGGAAAAAAGAAAGACTGCAGCCTCCATTGGGGGTCCTTTCTCTCTCTCTCTCTCTCTCTCTCTCTCTCTCTTTCTCTCTCTCTCTCAAAACTTTCTGTTGATGCAGAGACTGAGTTATGTCAAGAAATATGCTCTTTTCCTGTGAATCAACTCTAGACTAAGAAAAACTCTAGAATTTTACAGCAGTCTTGTAGACAGTTCATAGTGACATTTATAAACATGTATGAGAAAGAGTTACAGAATTATTCCTTTATGAGTTACAATGCCTAGAACCCAGAAATATTTAAGAGCAGTAATAGGCCCCCATAGGGAAATAACTAATGTTTTCTATGGCCACATTATAACAATAAAAAGTTTAACTGAGATTTATAACTGAAAAGCAAGTACAATAAACCTCATTAAACCATAAATTGAAAATAAACAGCCCGTCAAGTCATGAATATCTCCTATGTTTCAAATAAGCATTTATCACTATATTTTGAAAAAATCTTAAGGGCAGGATAACACAGTGGTTAAGTACAATACATAGGGAGCCAGATCCCACATGGCTGACTACAGTTTGAGTCCTGATCCCAACAGTCTGAAAAACAAACTAGGCACTTGTATGGAAAAATGGGGAAAAAAGAAAGACTGCAGCCTCCATTGGGGGTCCTTTCTCTCTCTCTCTCTCTCTCTCTCTCTCTCTCTTTCTCTCTCTCTCTCATGTCTTTGTCTCACTCTTAAGTGTACATGCCCTCTGGCTGGCTGGCTGGCTGGCTGACTGGCTATCTATCTATGTAAATAAATAAATTGCTTAAAAAACAAAACAAAACAAAAACCCTTAACCTCTGAAATCTTATACTCCTACTACATCAAGCTAAGAAATAAGAATACAATCCTATATTTAAATAGAAGCATTTACCAAATAAGAAATAAGTACATGATACATATTTTCTAATTTAAGTAAGTATGATTTTAGTAAACTGACAATATTAACAGTCCAATACAAAGCAAACATTTTTATGGAATTTATTAGGTATTTTAATCTTGAATCTTAAAAAATAGGAAACATAAATTTAAAAAATAAAAAATAAATTTAAATCAGATCCTCCGGATGTAAGATAACTAAAACCCATTATTTGGAAGTGGGAGGAGGAACAATTCAGGATACCTATCTACATTGACACAAACATCATTGGAACATTGGTCCTTGGAACTTTTTATTCTGAAAGCCATGAATTTCTCAGACGCCTTTTAAAACTGTGCACACAAAATTATTGTCCATTTATCATGTAATTACTCCCAGAGTCTGACTTCGTGTTCTCATCAGGTCATACTTAAATACAGTTAAGTTCAATTCTGGCTCTGGGGCAACAACAAGCTTGACCTGTATTTCCTTTTTCCCAGGTGGTTATCGCAAAAGCAGCTGTTGCCTTTGACCTCTGGCCTCACAAGACAGTTACATCGCATGCATTTTCTTATAGAACTATCTGATTCCCATTGAGTTTTGACATCACAGCTTATCATTTATTATTATTTGTTTTTATAAATTAACTTCTAACCTTTAAGTTTGTCTTATTTTCAAATTGGCCAGTAATGTTGAAGACCGGAAGAGTTCCAGTAATGACAAGTCCCAGCTCCTAAAAATAGATTCAGAGAGAAAAGGCAAGTAAAACTTACAATTTAAACTTTTGTCATCCTACCATTAGTTTTTGATATTTGGGATTATATTTTATAGCAACGTTATATAGAGTCACAAAAAAAAAACTAGTAACTAATTTAAAATATCTACCAAAACTTGTTTTAAAAAAATGGAATAAAAATATCCGGGAAATAATCAGGACCTATCAGGAAGGTATTTAAGTATGCGACATCTAAAATAATACTCTAAGAGAACATTGAAAATAACTTTAAAATTTTTTTAAAGGCTAACTTATACAAATGATCAATAGCCCCTAACATCTTCTATAGCTCCATCTTGTCTCCCCTTTTTTTTCACAGTGATAATTCACCTAGTATCAGAGTACTCCATAAGTAGAGTGATATTAAAGTTTTATTTTACTTCCATTTTTATAACTTCATTATTGATTATTTTATGCCTTAAATTAAAACATTTATGCTAAATCCCAAATGTAGAGGTTAAGAACATGAAACATCCAAAAAATATGCTCTTGGTACTACATTTCTTGGCTATTCCTGGAAAATACTATGCTATTTTTAAAAAAGCAATATCGCTTCTAAAAAGCAACCAAAATAAAAGTACTTCTTGACAAAGTAAAATGATGACTCAATAGATAGAATAGCCATAAGCATGAAGCATGAAAGTGTAGTCATGGAGCAAATTAGCACAACAAAAATAACACCAAGCTATTAAGCAGCTCATGGATAATGTCATGTATTAAATGAATCTGAGGAGATTAGCTTAAATATAATTTTCAAGTCAGGGGCTGCTTTTTAAAAATCAGTAACATCTGCGGCCATATATATATGTATATTTTTTAAACCATTGTTATATATGAAAATGACATTTTCAAAAAAACACATTAAAATAATTTTTAAAGTATTGTTGGATATTTTGCACTTGCTAGGATGAGAACATATTAGTAACCTTTGGGTGCATAATGCCTCTAAATCTAAATTTCATGCATTCCGTTCTGGTTCTAAAAATAGTATGGTTGTGGAGAAAATATCTTAGGCTAGCGTTTGCTATTGTGCATGGAGAAAGCCCCGAATCAACAGAAGCCTAATTAAGGAGGAGCCTGTAGAGAGGCTTTCAGTAGAACAGTTGCCAAATTTAGGACACATCGAATTTTGGAAACTACTACACAGAGGGGGTGCACAGTGATATTCACATAGGTTCTCTCTTTACAAGCAAGAATATTTGACAATAAAACATCTTTAGTTATATAAGTTAATATGCCCGATGAAAACTCTCGACATTAAAGTCTGACTTATAATTTATATATACAGCTTTTTAAAATGCAACCATGATATCAGACAAGAAATGTACAGATGCATTCCTTCTGTCATCATCATTTTATGTATGTATACGGACTACCATAATTCACTCCTAAAAATGATAATATGTAGCCTAAAATGAGAAGTAGATTCCTAACATATTAGATATAAGATATTCATGAATGCACTCACTGGTAGTCTGCCTCAATTTTTTCCCGTTTATTAAGTAGACAAAAACAACCAAACAAATAAAAACGATGCTATTTCTGGGCATTGTACACATCTCTGGAGAATAAAACTAAATAAAACAAGATTTTTGATACCTGGATTTAATCTGATATTTATTTTATAGAGACACACTTTTTTTAATATCTCTCCTTTTATATAGAGTCTCAATTTAACCCCCCAAGTAAAATGAACCTCCACAATATTTGTTCAGTTTTGCTTCTGTCCTTAATTCCCATTATCTCCAAAAGTGACCAAGGTATCATTCTTTAGTAAACACAGAAATGTCCAAACTTTTACACTATATCCACATGGTGTGGTTTCACTAACTACCTTACCTGTACTGATGTGTTCAGCTAAAATATCATCATCGTTTTTAAGCACATCCTCATTCTATTCTAAAATATAACTTCTTGACTTTGAAATTCCAGAATTCTCTGAATTTCATTTAGTCTTTCAATATTTAATTCTTCCCTTCTTAATAGAAGAAGAAAATATATAATATATTTGACCAACATGTATCTTAACTATCTTACCTACAGAGGCTGTAAACAAAGTGGAAATACAGAATGGGTCATTTATCATTCTTGAACCAGTAAAAAGAATGCTCTATGTGTCCAATGAATAGCCAATTCATGTCTCTTATCTTATTTTTCTTCTTCTTTTTTTTTTTTACATTAGTTTTAGCTTGTAGAACAGCACATTTAGAACCAGCATTTCCTCTGGCGTCATTTGTGCTATCAGTAAGGCCTTTCCCAGTAACGCAGACATGGTCCTTAATGAACTTCTGGTCATAGGAAATACAACAGGGCAAATTACTGACTCCTCCTATCATATACTGTCCTATGTTGGATTTGAAAAAGCAAAACATTTGGACCACTGCTTTAGATGACCATGTGACCTTAAGTAAACATGTGATGTCAAGGAAGAACACTGGACAGAAGTTTGAGCTAGCTTTGAGGTAAGCAAGCTCCACTTTATCTTCCTTAGCATGCAAAGCTGCCACTAATAGTGCCTATTTTTTTTCTGTAACTTCCTGTATGTGTTTATTTTGCAAGAACCAAATGATAAGTAATTGTAAACGGATTGCATTTTGCCCTTTGGGTTCATCACTGCATTTAGAAAAGTAGTAACAGCATTCTTGACTTTGAAATTCCAGAATTCTCTGAATTTCATTTAGTCTTTCAATATTTAATTCTTCCCTTCTTAATAGAAGAAGAAAATATATAATATATTTGACCAACATGTATCTTAACTATCTTACCTACAGAGGCTGTAAACAAAGTGGAAATACAGAATGGGTCATTTATCATTCTTGAACCAGTAAAAAGAATGCTCTATGTGTCCAATGAATAGCCAATTCATGTCTCTTATCTTATTTTTCTTCTTCCTTTTTTTTTTTTACATTAGTTTTAGCTTGTAGAACAGCACATTTAGAACCAGCATTTCCTCTGGCGTCATTTGTGCTATCAGTAAGGCCTTTCCCAGTAACGCAGACATGGTCCTTAATGAACTTCTGGTCATAGGAAATACAACAGGGCAAATTACTGACTCCTCCTATCATATACTGTCCTATGTTGGATTTGAAAAAGCAAAACATTTGGACCACTGCTTTAGATGACCATGTGACCTTAAGTAAACATGTGATGTCAAGGAAGAACACTGGACAGAAGTTTGAGCTAGCTTTGAGGTAAGCAAGCTCCACTTTATCTTCCTTAGCATGCAAAGCTGCCACTAATAGTGCCTATTTTTTTTCTGTAACTTCCTGTATGTGTTTATTTTGCAAGAACCAAATGATAAGTAATTGTAAACGGATTGCATTTTGCCCTTTGGGTTCATCACTGCATTTAGAAAAGTAGTAACAGCATATTTGAACTCCCAAGTAGGGAACAGTATTATTATTGAATCAGCATTTACTTTTCAGGACTTGTTGTTTTGAGTCTCTCCAGTACATTATTTGAGTAAAATCATTAATAAAATCATCACATTAAGATTATGTATATGAATAAATATTAAGTGTGATCATTATTGTTTAAAATTTTCATGTCAGAAAAGTAAATACTGCATAAAAGTAAGGTATTTTTAACTTTGGTGCTACTGACATCTTGGGCTGGATAATTCTTTGCGGTGTGTGTATGGAAGAGGGCTGTGCTGTGCACCTCAGGGTGGTTATCACATCTCTGGGCTCTACCCACCGGACACCAGGAGCAAAATCTCCCATCAGTCATGTTAATCAAAAAGGTCTACAGACATTTCAAAAAGACCTGTGAGAGGCAAAACCACTCCCAGTTGAGAATTACTACTTTAAAATATGATGAAATATCTTTTCTAAAACATCAATTATGCAAGGGACATTTTAACATATGTTTACAATTTCACACCAGATTTGATCGTCTCAATGGGATGCTTCCATGCAAATGCCTGAGGCTGAATCTAATAACAGATATTAAGTATGAGAAGTGATAAGGTCTGTGATAATTTCATTGTAAGATAAAATTATTTTCCTAGCTAACAAGGTGTTTCTGAATTTTGGTGGATCTAGCTACAGTCATGGAGGCTATACATGCTTCCACCAGGGGATGTCCTACTTTTAAAACACTTTCTCTAAAAGAAAGATTTCTGGGTCAGCCAGTGGGATGGTGGTTAAAGCAGCTAGATGTCACATAGCTGACTGTGTGGTTGGAGTGCTGGAAAAATCAGCTTCAAAAACATACCGGGTTCATGTTTGTGGGTGCCGAAGCTCCCAAAAGGCAAATGGAAGAAAGGGGACTGCTGTGTGGCCATCCTCCCCAAGGAGTGCTTTCTCATTCTCCCTGTCTCTCTTTGTTTCCCTCTCCCCTTCCCTTCTCCCAGCCTACTTATAAATCCTATTGCAAAAACTAAAAGAATCCACCTATTTCTGTAGATTTGGAACAAGAATAACTCTTCTTTTTTTTTTTTTTTTTTTTTTACCTGAAAAGTACAAAAAGCTATTGCAATTCCCAGAAATTCAGTGTTCTTCTAAGATGGAAATTCTCAGTGGATTAACGGAACAATTAAATTATTTATGGTATTCTACTACATTCAAGCCTAGGTTTTTTGAAAATTCTCTAAATTCTAGCAAAGAGTCATGATGGAAGGAATTTTAGAAAGGATTTAATGAAGTGGAAAAGAGAAACGTCACCTAGAAAGAAGCAGAAGTCAACTGTGAGCTTCTGTTACGCCTGTGTTTGATTAAACAGCCCAATCTCTTACCAGCGCATCCAGATACACATTAGTCCATTGGACTTGTTTAGCTTTGTCTCCTGCTAAAACCATTGGTCTTCCCAGAACATCCAAATATTCCTATTTATATAAAGAAAGAGGTTTTGGTTGAAATCCAGGAATGCGTTGATACAAAAATAAAAAATAAAAACTCCAGAGAGAAAAAATAATCTAGAGTTAAAAAGGAATATGGAATAAAAGTTGTTAAGAGAAAGAGTATATATATAATCATTTAATTCCCACTCGGTACCCCTAAATGGTATGCCTATATGCTTTGAATAAACAATATTTGACTTATAATATTTATATGATATATCTATCTTGTTTTTCTTTCCATAGTAATAATCAGAATATTGTTTTTCTGAGTTACTGCCAATGATAAGTAAAATAATGTTCCTTGTAAATTGTTTCATGGTAATCTAAACTATTTAAGGCTCTGTGATTTACTGTGTGGAACTGCACAAATTTGAAATAATAAAGCAGCTACATAGTTGCTTTCATATCGCAGATTGTTTGGCTGAAATTCAAAACTACATTTAAATATATCAAAAAATAAATTAAATACTGTGCCAAATCTAGACATCAGACTCAAATACATCTGTTGTTTTATTTCAACATTCAATGAATTCAGTATTCATTTCTACCAATGCCTTGTATATTATTTATGCTAAATTTTAACTTAGTCTATTTTGTATATCCTCAGCTATGCTTCAAATTGAGAAATGATTTATATAGTAATTTGTGAATATTTTAAAAATAATAAATAATTAAATTAGCATATTAGTTCATTCTACAAAAAGTTACAGAACATGCATGTTTTCAAATGGATGGCGTAAGAAAATACTTTCTGTTGTAACTTTATTTTTAAGCAGGTAAATAGATCAGGCTGCCCTGGACGTTAGTAGTTAAAGGATTTTGGTTACTCTTGGCTGACCATGGTTTGAATCCTGTCCCTAGTAACTTGAAGAACATTTGGGAACATGTGTATGTGCACCAAAATCCAACAGGATGGAGAAATGGAGAAGGGATTTCAGTGTGACCATGTCCCATGGCAGGGTGAGGGGGGTGCTTTCTCTCTCTTTCTCTCTCTTTGGATAGCACAACTGTCTTCTAACAATTAAAAATAAATAAATAAAATAAACAAGTAAAGCAGGTAACTAGAGCTCAGTGGTTACTGGGGAGATGTATTAACTCTAACTAGGAACCTCTGCAATTTGTCCAGAATAATTACTGTCTAAATTTGTGTGTAGTATTTACTACTTGAAGAAGCTCATTTAAATGATTTGAAAAAGAACCAATTAAAAGTACAGGAGATACACTTTTTAGTAAATTGGATTTAATCTATGTTCTATGTTTTTAATATCCAAGGATAACAATACACTTATATTTACATGCATTTTTTTAAGTTGAGTTTTGGATGCCTAAAAACACTTGTACCTTAATAAAGTAAAAACCAATACATTACTATGAGTCTTGGCAATTTTTTTTTTTTGGGGGGGAGAGGTTTTTGCTATAGGACGCGTGCGCTCACCAGACAGACAGAGAGAGACATAGAGACAGAAAGCGAGAAATCACCGCCCAGGGGGGATGGTCATGCCGCAATCCTTTCTCCTCCATTATCCTCTCGGGATCTTGGGCACGCATGCACACACGCCCGGCGTGAGTTTTAAGCCACCGGGTCCGGGACACGAACCGCGGTCGACTACGTGGGAGTCCAGCGACATAGCCATTACGCTAACTGCTAGTTCCTGAGTCTTGGCATTTTGATACAAATGAATTATTATAGTTTTTTCATTTTCACCTATTTTTCCATAATAACAATTTTAAACCAAAAAAAGAAATATCTTACACTTGAAAAAAACAATTTAACCAGTCATTAAATAAATAATCATACCTGAGTATTGATTCTTATTGCTCCAATAGAAGGAATTTCATAATAATAACCTGGAATATAAATGTCCTTTTATATATAACTTATAATAAAGAACCACAAATTATTTTGTCCTAGTAGAGTGCAAAGGCATTTTCTTTACCTTTAAAATGAGCAAAGTAAATTATTGATACCAATAATATATTAAGAGAATGTTTGATTAATGAATAGTCACAATATATGTACAGGCTTTATGAGTTATTTCCCTAAATCTCTCCAACATACACAATAAATGTTATTTTTCTATAAAGCAGTACAGAATCTGACACCATAAGAATATATTGGGTTGTGGGAAAAGTCATGACATATTTTTTCTATGTTTTTATGTAAAAGTGCAACATGACTTCTACAACCCAATATTTTTCATTTAAGAAATTATTAAAGATACATGATGCATAGATACCTAATACTTATTATATTTACTTAAATTTTTCCATAAACATAATTTCAGATAAGTTCAAGTTCTTCTTGTTGCTCTGGTATCACAGTTAGTATTCAAATAAAATCTCTTCTCTTAACACCATTTTTTCTGAGTATGAAGAAAATATGGACTCTCTGAATAAAATCTGAATTATCTAAGAATGTATAATATATTCTCCAAAACAATAATTTAATTACTCAGAGAAAAAATATATATAGCTTTAGGCCACATTCTAATATATACATTTTATCTAAATTTTATATGATTTTATAAAATCTAGATTAAAAATTTAAAAATGAATAAAATTTAGATATTATTTTCCTAATTTTTCATGTAAGATTATATTTTATTTATATCACTATCATTTAAAACAATATAACCTTATATGAATGTACAATAAAATCAAATGACTCATGTTCTCTATAACATAATGCTAATGTTAAAATCCAAAACATTTTTAAAAAATCCATTGCATGTTTTCTCTACAGGACAGATGTTTAGAATTTTATTCTTGTCTCTATTCCTATAACATACAGCTACAACTTTAAGTCATACTAAGTAGAATGAATAATTACTAAACTGTTTTTTTCTTATAATAAAACATAGTAAAGAAAACAGATCTGTTACCTTTATTTTCACAGGCCATCCACTGAATAGGACCTCTGTCATAATTATGTTGACCAACTGAAAATGTAAATACACGCACCTGGATGAATTAAAAAATAGGTATCTTTTAGGCTGTATAAAATTTAATTCAAAGGCAAGACAAAAATTGATAAATAAAAATAATAACAATAAAATAATATTTTTCAGTTAATTAAAATATTAATAAAAATTGAGGCCATTAAGGGGATCAGGGAGACATCAGAGGAGAATTATATAACCTACTCTAAACATAGATTCCAGTAACCAAATTGAAATGAGTGCTTGGTTGCCCTGTGCTATATCCCAGTCCTCAGGTAGAAGCATAACTAAAGTTTTATTAGTAGAAAATGTATCTCTCGGGCCCAGTTTAACCAGGGGAGCCTGGTTAAAAGAGATTGCCTACATATCCAGTCACTATACAAACTATTTCTCTATTTTGCAGGTATGTAGTGATAAAAATGTATACAAGAAAGTCACTATTCTTTTAGTTGATTAAGATAAACTTAGTCATGAGTTTGCTACTTTTATACCATGGAAATATCTAGGATGCAAACATAATGATTATGTTAGGATATTATTTTCTATAAAAATATGGCTGGTATATACAGATAGATAAATATTTTAAGCTCTCAGAAATTTTTTGTTATGCTATAGAGAGCATATACCCACTTCAGAAAGAGAGAAAGTGAGAACTCACCCCCCCTCACCATCCAGGGGGATGGTCATGCCCCAATCCCTTCTTTCTCAGTCTCAGTCTCTCTCAGGAGTTTGGGAACACGCACATATGTGTCTGGTGTAATTTCCAAGTCACCAGTCCAAGACTCCAACCACAGAGTCCTTTATGTGGGATCCAGCCACCTTAACCTCCAAGCTCCTAGAATTTTTTAAAAGAATCAAAATATCAGGGCCAGCAGGTGGCTTGGAGGTTAAGGCGGCTGGATCTCACATAAATCACCACCACCTGTTGGCCCCACTTGGTATTCATTCTAGCTCTCCTCCATTTTGTCCTTCAACTCCATGTCTCTCCCCCACCCCCATTCCTCTTGATCTCTCTCTCTCTCTGTCTCCAGGAATTCCCCCTGAAAATGGGATGGTTTCATTTTAATTCTTCAGCTGGGTCATTTTTAGGGCAATCTAGATATTTCAAAGTAGTGTTACTACTGATATTTACATACTTGAGCTTATCCCAAAATGAAAATATTTTTATAAGCAGGTAGACCACCCTAACTGATAATTTAATTTAACTGCCATACCTTAACCTCACATGAATTCAGGACAGTGAATGTTCAGATGTTCCAGACATGCAGTTGGAGATCTACTTTGTAATTCACATTTGAACATATAGTTCATATTTCAAAGGAAAGCTTTATCTAGTAGTTATTGTTACCACAACAGTGTGCTAGTAAAACATTTTTCATAAAATACTCTTCAAAAAGAAACAAATATGACTAAATGAATTATATATCTATGTCTCTGGAAGACAAATATTTCTAATAAAACAGAGGATACACTAAGACCCATATCATATCATCATTTTGATTGCTGTTACCATTCAAATAGTCTAAATAAACAAAGTATAAAAAAAGCAAAAAAAAAAAAGTATTGCTTTTAGTACAAAATTTTCATCTAACCCTCATGTTTGCCCACATGAAGCTCTCAGAGGTTGTCAAAATAAGGAATTTGGAGGTAGGGCTAAGTGTGGAAGCATACATTCATCACAATTATAATTTGTTAAACATGCTAAACTCCCTTTTCTCCTTTTTTTTTTTTAGGATTTGGCCATAGGTAATGTGTACTCTCCAGAGAGAGAGAGAGAGAGAAAGAGAGAAATCACCCCCTTGGGAGGATGGCCACACTGCAATCCCTTCTCCATTCTACTGGGGATTGTAGGTATGCACGCACATTCGCCTGCTGTGATTTTCAAGCCCTCAGGTCCAAGACTCAAACTGCAGTTGGCCATGAGAGAATCCATCACCTTAACCACCATGCCACTCACTGGGCCACTAAAGGCCTTAATTTTTGGCCTCCCTTTGTCTTTTTCTCAACCAGGTCCTTGGCTATTTAAAAGTTACCCCATGACAAAACCAAACAACAACAACAAAAAAGTAAGTTGAATTAACTAACAGAATCATTTCCATACTATAAATCTATGTTTTGTAACTCTTTTCTCAATTTTTCTTTTTTTTTCTGTAGAGGTTTTTGCCTTAGGGTGTGTGTGTGCTCACCAAAGAGAGACCGACACAGGGACAGTGATGGCCACACTGCAAGCTCTTTTCCTCCCTTCTCTTCCTGGGACCTTGGGCATACACACACATACACACACACATACACCCAGTGTAATTTTTTTTTTCCAAGCTACCAGGTCTGGGACTTAAACTGCAGTCAACCATGTGGGAGTCCAGCAATGTAACCACTATGTCATCTTCTGGCCTCTCTCTTTTCTCAATTTTAATTTGCCTTATTATTAAAGACAATAATTCTCTGAAATTTTCCTTCTAGTACTTATTAAAATTAAATATGACGCTCTTTAATTTATCAACTACCTTACTGTGACAATATTTGCAAAATTTAATATATTTAAGATGCTTAGTTTCCTCTTGTGACTATAATATATATATAGTGTATATATATACATATATATATATGTATATATATACACACACACACACACACATATGTGTGTGTGTGTTCCAGGGATAGATAGATATATATATATTTGTGTGTGTGTGTATATATTTTATATATATACATACACACACATATAAATTTAATGATTTTATGAATTATATAGACTTAGAACTTTTTGAAATGGTTTCATAAATATCTAATTTGCTGAGGCAAATTTTAATATGCCATTCAAAACTTAGCAATGATTGTAGTGCCTTGTGCACATTCTTTACAGGATTAAAAAATCAACAGAAAATCACTTTATTCTCAGCCATGGCTGAAGTTGTCTTTGTTGTATACATTTTATCAAATTATAAATCTGTAATAAAACATTTAACTTAATAGCGTTCACAAACAATTGAATTATGCATTTTGTAGTGTATATACATAGTGAATGGGGGAATGTAAAAGAATCTTTGTGTATACTAGCTTTTCTCTTGCAGTTGTGGATGGTTTCACTCCTCCTATTCCATACTATATTACTGCCACCCTGTGGAAGACTCAGTGAACTAACTAAACTCCAGATGCCAATGTCCTTAGAGATGATAGCTTATCCCCATTTACTTCTGAGTTTTCCATTTCTTCAAACATGCAATTCTTGTTTACACATAATTTTGGAGAAAAAAATGAACTGATTCTTTGAAAAAGGTATAATTTATAATTTAAGAGATATATATTTCAAAGATGTGTATTTATACAGTTCTTTTCTTAGTGTATTTGTACAGCTTATACCAAAACAAATAACATACAAAATAAGTTGAAGTACTTAATAGGTAGCCATGCAAGCTAAATATTTCATCTAAAATCTAGATTAGTCAAATTACTTTTGAGAATACTTCAAACATTTCTGGCAAAATTGAATTAAGGTATTAATTTATTGTGGCTTCAAAATATTTTTATATTCATGCAGGTCTTTCACAGTATGACTTTTCCATGAACTTTTTGAAGACTTCCTCCACCCCTGTACTGCAGATCAAAACAAATTCAATATTTATGGAGGCAAAAATTTCTTTACCCATGCCTAGCAGCATGTTTATATGTCACAAAAGCACACTGGAAATGTTCTGTTCTGAGTGAAATGTTCCTAGAAAATTAGCTCAATCTTCCTTAACTGACGTGTGTGGTTTTCAACATAAATAACATTCAATAAACACTGGATTGGGTTAAAACAATTCCAAGATTTCACAACTTGGCATCTATCACAGTACCTTAAGATGAAATAAAAATAAATATTTACTAAACAAAAAAATGTGAATGTAAATAAATATTTACTAAGTTAAAAATGTTCTTTTACCACCAGAGGGATCTAAGGCACACTTTGGTGTAATCTAACATAAAATAGGTTCATAAAAGTTGTGACAGACAGAACTGTGGGAGTAGTCATCTTGAATTTTGTGAGTTGGATTACTTTATTATACTTCTATTATGGTAAAGTCCTTTTTAAATTTAATTTTTTTTTTTTTAATTTGCAATAGGGTGCATGTGCTCGCCAGATAGATGAGAAAGAGGGGTAAAATGAGAAAGCACCCTCTGGGGGAGGGGACAGTCATGCCACAATCCCTTCTCCTCCATTCTCCTCTCAAGATTCTCAGGCATGTAAGTGCATGTCTTTTAAACATTTCTGGCAAAATTGAATTAAGGTATTCATTTATTTTGGTTTCAAAATATTTTTATATTCATGCAGGTTTTTCATAGTGTGACTTTTTCATGAACTTCTTGAAGACCTCCTCCACCCCTTGTACTTTAGATTAAAACAAATTCAATATTTATGGAGGCAAAGGCCATGCTGAGATCCAGCGTCCTTAAGGGATGGCCACTGGCTGTTGTTCATGGTAACTTCTTCATTTTATTTATATTACACAGAAATGCTTACTGCAGTTAAACAATTTTTCAGACCAAATAAAAATATACTTAGTACATTATACCTTTTATGTACTGTATTATTTTTTCAGAAAAATTTAATTTCTTTTTAAAATTTTTTTAAGAATTATTTTTATTTAATTTTATTTATTCATTCATTTTATTTTAATTTGACCAGAGAGAGAGAGGACAAGTGAAAGCAAGCCGCCAGGTCTGGGACTCGAACCATGGTCAGACATGTGGGAGTGCCCAGCACCTTAACCATCATGCCACTTGCTGGTCCCCAGAAAGCAAGAAATCACTCTCTGGGGAGGATGGCCAAGCCACAATCCCTTCTCCTCCATTCTCCTCATGGGATCCTGGACATGAACACACTCGTGCCAGGAGGAGTTTAAGCCATTGGGCCCAGGACTGAAACCGCGGTCGACATGGAAGTCCAGCGACATAGCCATTACGCCAATGCTGCGCCCTCTTTTAATTCTTGACTCATATTTAGTTATATAGACATACTCATAAAACAAATAGTAATTTAGG